GGTGGTCAATGCCTGGAATGCTTTACCCGATTCCATTGTTACAGCCTCAAACCCTCAGTTTCAACCTCAAACTGTTTATCGTGGACCTCACTCCATTCTTAAGAGGTCCGTAAAGGGGGCATGCATAAGCGTACCAGTGTGCCTACCGTCCCTGTTTTACTGTCCTCATTTATTTGTATTTACTTCCTTTGTTTATGTTTATGTTCATACCTATACTTGTTATCTTGTACGTGTTTGACAAATAAATCTTGCTGCTGATCTCTCAACATTTCCAAATTGTTTTCAAAGAGCTGTTTGTAAATGCTTTCGTTCCCATCTTTTCCCACAGCATGAAATAAATAATTCGAAAATGTGGATATTGTCTGGTAGGCTGGGAAAAGAGTGGGTTGGGGCTAATCTCCCTCTTCCTGCTGCTTCCTTCATAATGAACTCTCTTGCATACTTGAACAGTATTGGTTCCCCACCAGTCCTCTGGAGTCTGCAGGGCGACTAATGGTCATTTTCATTAGTCATGAAGCAAAACCAGAAATCCAGTGATGGATTTCCCAGTTAGTTTTGACTTTTTAATATTTTGACTATAATAAATTTCATTATCTTGAAATATTTTCAGTTTATTAGTAACTTTACTGTTTACTAAATAAATCAGATGTTTTCCTTTTCCTGAATACCACTTGTAAATTGCCTAAATATTAAGTTACAAATAATGTAAAAAGCAAATACATTTTTGAAAATTTTTATGAGAGGAAAAACTGGAATTTCTCTATTAGTCCTCTGCCTTCAGCCAGGAGAAGAGGTCATCTGAAATGTCATGCAGTGAATCCCCTGGACATTAGCTTAGTAAGGCTTATAGTTCTCTTAGGAAAGTCCTTCTTTTGTTAGTAATTATTTTTTAATCACTGCTGCCTAAACTGTCCTTAATTTCATGCCTACATGTTTTCATCTCCTGAATACCATTTTCCTCTTCTCTCTTCCTCTATAAGGACCAAAATGCTACAGCATTTTTCTCCCATCTGGAATGCTTCCTTATTTCCAAATAGGGTTGTCTCTAATTGTGGAATTAGTTGGAGTCAAACTTTAAATCTATTTTTATTTCCTTGAGGGCCAAAAGAGACTAGCGATGCAGAGTGTCATCTTACGCTGGGTGCGTCCTAGTAGGAAAATCCTTTAAAGAAATACCTTTTACAATACTGCATAAGAATTGAAACTTGGAAATATTTCTTTGGACAAAATACAACCATAATGGTGACTGTGTTGTTCAAAATGTTGCAGGAAGAAATTAAGGCTGACTACAGTTTTTTATTCAACAGTTGGATTATTGGTTCTGATATTCTAGTAGATTTGATTTTGAAAGTACAAAACTTTCATTTGCAGACCTATTTGTAAAGTGCTTGGGTGCAGTCTTCCATTTTCTATTAATTTAATAACTTTTGAGTTTTCCTAATTTAGCTGAAAATTTTCTAGTGATTTCTTTGATCCTCTTGAAATTATCTTTTATTTTCCTTTATTTTCTCTTTATTTTACTCTGTTAACATTCCTGAATTAAATATATTTCCTTGTCCTTAATTAATGATAAAAGTTTGTATTCCTGTTATGCATTGCTTCTGTTCAAAGCTTCCATCCTGTTTTTGTTGCTATCATGGTAATTGCCCTAAAAGCCATTTGGATTTTTGAAAAATAGGATACAGTACTTCAAATAAATAATTGTAGATTACAATTTTTGGATTACAAAATTTAACTTTAAAGAGTCATTTAAAATGGCAGGGATAAGATCTATACCAATGTTGGCGAAACTTTTTGGAACAAAGTGCCAAAACAGGGGGCACGCACATGCATGCTGGAAACCAGAAGACTGTCAAAATACGAATGCCAAAATTCACCCGAGTGGCGGGGGCACCGGAGCTGTCAGTGGTGGGGGAGGGATGAGCCCCGCATGCGGTGGACCCTCCGCCAGCTCTACATGGCCTTTCAGGGATCCTCACATCTCCGTGTCCACCCCCCTGGTCCCCATCGGGATGGCGGGACATCTCCATTGATGACCCGGTTCCGCAGCCCTGGACAGGGAGAGAAAGTTGGGCAGAGAATGCCACCTCTTTCTGCTGGAAAGCGAGAGCCCCTTCCCAACCTCGGAGGGAAGGGGTGTCAGTGTTCCCGGGGCTCGGATTGGGAGGCCAGCAGGCGGGAGAGCTTCACCCCAACTCTGGCCGGGATGAAATGCCCCACCCAGCCCGCCACCAAGAAAAAGCCAGCACAGTCCTCTCACCCGCCACTTCTGGCAAGGGAGCACGACCACTTCCCAGCTGGTGCGCCTCTTACCCCGCTGCCGGACAGAGGTTCCTCCTGCGCGGACTCAGCTCCTGCACAGCCCCAGAAGAGCAGCAGCGGCAGCCGCAGAGCGAGGGGCAGGAGCAACCGGCCAATCCTCACAGACACTTCCTGGCTGGCGGGGCGGGCCCTCAGCGGCATCTCCATGCATGAGGAACTGTGCTCTCCTCCGGCCCTCCTGGGGCAATTTGCCTCCCCGATGGCAGCTCCTCCTCGCTGTTCCAGCATCCCGGCCGGAAGCGGCAGGGTGAGAACCACCACCACTCCCACGCCCCCACCGGCGGCAGGAGCCGCAGATGGGGCAGCCGGCCACCCAGCCAGCAAACACTGCCCCATGCGCCCGAGCATGTCGGTGCCACAGGCTGGGGCCACGCAAGAAGCCCGCTTGGGTGGGGAGGGAGGGAAGCCGTGGCCCGCCCATCCTGGCCAACAGCTCTGCTCCCCTTGCTCTTGTGCATCAGCCAGCTGGTCTTCACACATGCAGGAGCACTGGAAATCCAAAGAGCAGCCGCCCGGTGCACAGGCACGGGCTGGGAAGATGATCTTCCAGTTTCCAGTGCACACATGTGAACCGGCCAGCTAGTCTTGGTGCGTGCATGTGTACCAGAAACTGGAAGACCAGGTGGCCGGCGTACATTACTTTGCTATTTGTTTGTAATATATAGCTTCTATGGTTTGAACAAATTTCTCTCCAAAGCCCATCTGTTTCAATTGTAATATCATAAATCACATTGTTGAAGGCTTTCTGTGCATCTAAAAACATCAAAGGCATTTGCTTTTCTGGGTGCACCTCATAATATTCCAAAGTATCCAGAATTATCCTCATATTATCCCTAATCTGCCTTTTCGGCAGAAATCCATTTTGATCCGAGTGTATATAATTATTTAAATATCTTTTAAATCTTTCTGCTAATATTGTAGCGAAGATTTTATAATCTGAATTTAGCAGAGATATAGGCCTATAGTTTTTGACTTCTTGTAAGTCGGTATCCTCTTTTGGAATAAGTGTAATATATGCTTCTAACCATGAGTTGGGTATTTCCTTCTTTAACAATACTTCATTCATAACTTCTAATAATGGGAAACTCAATGATTCCTGTAAGGTCGAATAATATTCCGCCGGTAGTCCATCTGGGCCTGGAGCCTTCCCACTTTTTTGTTTTTTGATTGCTTCGGTCAATTCCATCATCGTTATATTTCCTTCTAGCATCGTCTCAACATCTTTTGGAATCGGAGGTAAATTCGCCTTGTATAAATATTGTTTAATACTTTCCTCTTCCTCTAGTTTTTTATAGTAGTCTTGTACAATTTTTTTCTTCTCCTCATTTCCAAATCTAAGTTGTCCTGGTTCATCTATTAGTTGTGATATTTTCTTTGAGTCCCTTTCTTTTTTCAGTTTATTTGCTAGCCATCTGCCTGGTTTATTAGCATCTTCAAAATATTTCTGTTTAGCATTCCTAATTTTTTGTGCTAAATCTTCTTTCTCTATTAATCCCATTTTATATTTAATTATGTCCATTTTCATTTTAATGTCTTTTTTTTGTGGGAACTTCTGCAGTTCTTATTCAAATTTCTTATAATCATCCTCTAATGTTTTATATGCTTGTCTTTTCTTAATATTTATTTTTCTTGTATAGTCAATAATCAAGCTTCTGGGATAGGCTTTCATAGTGTCTCACAGATTCTGCATTGATGTATCCTCTTTTCTATTTTCTTTGAAGAAAAAAGCTAATTCTTTCTCCATTTTCTGTAGAAAGTCCTTTTCTTTTAATATTGTAGTATTTAGAGCCCATCTAAACCAGTGGTTCTCAACCTGTGGGTTGCGACCCCTTTGGGGGGTCGAACGACTCTTTCACAGGGGTCGCCTAAGACCATCGGAAAACACATATTTTCAATGGTTTTAGGAATAATTTTATGGTTGGGGGTCACCACAACATGAGGAACTGTATTAAAGGGTTGCGGCATTAGGAAGGTTGAAAACCACTGATCTAGACCTTCACCTTTGTCCTTTCCATCTCACCGTCATTGGATTATGATCTGCCCAGGTATTAGCCTCTATGGCTATTTCTTCTATGTTTGAGGTCAGTCCATTGTCAACCATATCATATCTATTCTGGACCATGATAAATGTCTATTAGAAGAAAAAGTGTATTGTCTGTTTTCTGCATTTCTTTCTCCAGATATCTTTCAAATTTATTTCCTCTAGAAATAAATACAGGTGGCCGGCGTACATGTGCATGCTGGAAACCAGAAGATTATCTTCCCGGCATGTGCCTGCGCACCAGGCGGCCGGAAGAGCAACAGCCGACAACTCGCGTGCCCAGAGAGATGGCTCTGCATGCCACTTCCGGCACGTGTGCCATAGGTTTGCCATCACGGATCTATACAATGGCAGACATGTATCTAGGGCTGTGGAAATGATGACAAGCCTGGAGTTCTTCGGATGTGTACCACCACTTCCAGGACTTTCTATTCATAAGCACTTGTGCCAAGCTTTCAATGATTGGCCATCCATGTACCAGTCAGCTATCTTGAGCCAGAAGGCCTGCCAAGAATGCAGTGTAGCAACAGTTGAGCGCATGAAGCCTAAGCCATTATTCAGTTGCCTGCATTTGCATAAAATATTGGAGTTAGACACGGTTCCTCAAGTTTTGATGATGTGTCTTTTCTTTTCTCAGTGTATGTTGTGGAAGAACAACGAAGAGACACCTCTGGTGAAAGTGCCTGCCTGACAGCATGTTGGACTGCATTGTGCTGCTGCTGCCTTTGGGACATGCTGACCTGAGATCCCTGAGAAGCAAAGCCTTTTGATACCTCTCTCTTGGAGTGCTATGCAGTCTCTTCCTTCTCCTCCTCCTCCTGCTCCTCTTGTCTCTTCTTTTCAGCAGCTTTTTAGTACTGTAATAAATGAGATGGCTTTGTCCAAGCATAACATGCCTGCCAGTTGGATGCATGAAGCTGAATGCATCCTTTTTTATTTGAGTGGAGAATCCCCCTCCCCTCTTCTTCTTCATGATTGTTCTTTAAATAATGTACTATATTTTGTTTGAAACAAGCTTTTACTATAAATTATGTATTCATAATTTACATGTCCTTAGAAATGGAGTAATATGCAATAATTTAAGGCATTTTTGGTTTTCTCTTACTTGCTTAATTTTCTGTTTTAATAAACTTTGTCCAATAAAATGTGATCCAGAAATTGGTAAGGCACAAATCAGTTTTTTTCCTCAAAACGTTTAGAACACTAAAAATGCCAGTTATTTGCATACTGGCTCTCAAAGATAGGATAAAAGATTATTCTTTTTGTGTCATCTATTATTATCTAAATAAGTGGGTGTGATGGTTAAACTTAGATTATAAAGAGGAAGATCCAGTTCTAAGTTTACCTTCAGCCAAAGAAGTTCACTGGATGATTTTTGGCTAGTTAATCTCTCAATTTAGCTTGTCTCACAAGTATGCTTGCAAGGAAAAATGGAAGATAACATTATTGGACTAACTACTGTCGAGGTAATGGGCATTTGCTTTTATTAGGATAGTCAAATTCATGAAGAATTACTCTTGAACTTGATGGGTCTCTCTTACTCCCAGAATAAAAACCATATGTCTTAAAGGCCAAGGCCTCCTGGATTCAATAGGAAAAGATGATTCTCAGGGCAAGTTAGCACCCACATATTCAACAACTATTCAAATCAACTGCCTGTTTTCCTGGGTGTCTCAAAAGTCTGTGTGCTTAGTTGAGAGATATTCCAGCTGCTGTCTGACATCTAACCTAGATAGCTGCATGGTTACTAAGCAACAGTAGAAAAGGTTTTTCTGTCATATTCAAAAGCCTCACTTTCTTCCAAAAGTATAAAATCACCTTTTTTTCCCCTCAACACTCCAAGCTCAATATATCAAAAACTTCATGGACAAATTCCAAACTCTGAGAATTTAATAATTCATTAACATTCTTAACCTTAATGTCCATGCAAGGAATTGGTTTACCATGACAGTATCTAATCAAATAGCAAAATATATCTCTAAAACATGTAATAACATTCTTTAAATTTAATACATCTTGAATATAAAAACAATGGCCAACAATTCTTAAACATTTACTGGGGAGTCCAATAAACCCTACAAATAAGTATTTACTGAACTAATTTGATTTTTAAATTATTTATTAGAAATAAATTTGAAATTATATTTTTGAAATCTAAAACCACTGATGTTATAAAATATTTCTCCAATATAAATTTCTTGCAATTTATCCAAGTATATGTTTGTAATTTTTAATACATGTAGAATCCAATACATTTAAAATTTCAAAAGGCTGTGAAAGCTTCAGGGCTAAAGAATTAGGCAACTTTTGACTATATAGCAATTCAGCTAGCTTTGGTAAATTCAAATTCATTTAGCCCATGATTCCCCTCCAAATTGTTTCCCTCCCTATTTACAATAAAAATTATTTCAAAATGTCAGTTTTTCCAATAAACTTCAAAAAAGTCTTACCAGCTTATGAAAAATGATAAGATGCTATAGTTAGAATCAAGAAAATGCCAAAATATCCAAGTTTTCACTAAGAATTTCAAAACTAAGCCCACAACTGAATATAACTAAACCTTTATGATTTATAAGAAATATTTATGGGGAAACAATACAGCTTTTACTCTCAACATACATATTACTTGTTTTACCTCATTTATTCCCAAAAATTCAGGGATACTTTCATCCATCTCTTATTATCCCTTTCATTTGTGTAATAAAATTTGAAATACATATTTCTACTAAATTAAATTATCATAGATATTTAAATGAAAAGGATAAAAACCAGTGGTGAAATGCACTTAACTTCACTACCAGTTCGGAAATGTACGTCAGGTATGCTTCCTTCAATATCCAGGAAAGGAAAACCCAAACTCAAACATTTTGAAGAGATTAGTACTTTTACTGAATATGAACTGATCGCAACCCAGGTAAAGCTGGAAGTGAGCAAAACGCGCGAAATAGCATCTACTAAGCTTCTCCCCCCCCCCCCCGTGTCCATTGGTCATCAGCCAATCCAAAGGTCTCCCAAAGGTCAGGTGGCATCACGTCTGGCAGCGTCATTCATCAGGAATGTAGGGCAGTTGGTCAGCCGTTCCCTTTGAAGATTCACTTTCGATTCTTTGGAAGACACGTCCTACAATGAAAAAAAAAACACCTCCTGCATCTTCCCCCCCTTCGCCCCCATAACTAATCCCTCCCCCGTTTCTTATGGCAGCTGAAGCAGGCAAAGCTGAGGCTAACAATGTGAGTGCATGCGCGCTCACTACACTCGCATGACCTCTTCTGCACATGCACAGAGCCTTCTGCTCATGCGCAGAGGGTCAAAAACAGGACGTAATGACATCCCAGCAGATGGACAGAGCCTCCCACCATCAGCCCTACCGGTTCATGCGAGCTGGAGAGATCTGGCCAGATTTCACCACTGATTAAAAAAAATCTTTTTTGTAATCAATAGGAATCTTGTTATCCATTGGAATATTAAAATTACCCCAAATTATTATATACCTAGGATATATGACATAATGCTGTAGAATTTCTACAAAATTGTAAAAAAAAATATTGAAACATTGAAAAACTGTCATTTGTATACAACAACTTATATTCTGTTTCATACTGCACATGAAATCACATTTTCATACAAAACTCACCTAAGATTCCAATACTAAATTAAATATTAAATGAAATCCCTGGCATGTGCATATTAATTATTATATAGAAGCGTTGGTCTTACCTGATACTGTACGCGCCTTCTCGTTGGGTGGAGATAGCATCCAGGAATGGGTTGACCTTGTTTGCTTAGCTGATTCGACTGAGTTTGTCAGAGCTGTTAGGACACACCTCTGTTGCTAGGGCTCCCCAGCTTTTGGCGAAGACAAAGGGATAGACTCGACGTGCCATGCTTGAAGATGTTTCCCTTACGAGCCGAGGACCAGACGGTCTACAGGGGGGGGCTGGATGCTATCTCCACCCAACAAGAAGGAGCATATCAGGTAAGACCAACGCCCCTTCTCCATAGTGGTGGCGGTAGCATCCAGGAATGGGACATACCAAAGCTGGCTGTCCTACGGGTGGTCTGCAGTCTGGTCCGAAGTCTCCTCCTCCGAATGGACGCTGAAGCCAAATGCCACCTCCTCCAAGGCGAAGATGTTCAATTTATAGTGCCTGATGAAAGGGGAAGGAGAGGATCAAGTCACTGTTCGACAGACCTCCTCCATAGAGGCCTGCGTTGCCCACGCCACAGTTGAAGCCGGATTCCAGGCAGAGTGTGCAGTTAACCTGGGAGGCCTTGGGAGGGCCTGCAGTGCATAGGCCTCGGCAATGGTGACCTAAGCCATCGTCCCACAATGGAAGGGGTGACCCTGTTGCCCAACGTGGCCAGCTGGAACTAGATAAACAGGGACACTGTTTTCCTCAGTTCAGCAGTCCGTTTAACACATATACGGAAAGCCCTCCTCACAACCAAGGTAAGCCACCTCCTTTTCAAGGGGTTGGCTGGGCCAGGGCAGAAGTTAGGCAATATCAGTTACTACGCCCTGTGGAACCAGGCGGTCACCTTGGAAATGAAGGAGGGGTCCAACCGCACAAACACTCTGAGTGAAAAACACAGGTCCTTCCTTACTGACAGAGCTGCCCACTCAGACACCCTCCTGGCCGTTGTAATAGCCACAGGGAAGGCCACCTTACTAGCTCCACTATTTGGCCTCCCTGCCTGTCAAATTGGGAGCATGAAGCTCCACTGTCAGTTGGTAAGGGTGGGAGCGTGAAGGCTCCACTGTCCGGTTTCCCTGGCTGTCAAATTGGGAGCGTGAAAGCTCCACTGTCAGTTGGTAAGGGTGGGAGCGTGAAGGCTCCACTGTCCAGTTTCCCTGGCTGTCAAATTGGGAGCGTGAAAGCTCCACTATCTGGTGGCAAAGGATTGCAATCCTGAAAGGACAATCTTGGGATTGGCTGGGAGAGAACCAGGCCTGCTACCCTGACAGCTGAGAAGACCACTGTCTGGCAGCTGGAACTGAAGGCCTCGCCGCTGAGGTGACCCCAGCGACTCAATCAGATGTTTGGGAGTCAGCTGGGTCAAACACTCACTGTCAGATCCCTAAAAGTGATACTGCCATTCAATTGGGAGAAGTGGGGGCCCTGGATTTGATTTATTAGCATTGCCTGTGTCAACAGATATTTTACAACCTATATCCTGGCGCCAAAGTGCCCTGAGATCTCCTTACCTTTGGGGAATGTTTATGACGGCCATGTGGGTTGTTTCACTTTAAAGGATAACAGATGCGAATGGGAATGCATGCTTATCTGGTTCTCAGGGCAGCTGGTAAAGAAAACATCTTCACACTTGTGTATTGGCTAAAATCTGCATTCTGACTTAAGGGAGGGGTCTCTACTGCTTTAATCTTACTTATCTTGCCTAAGGGTATTCAGTTGTTGCTTTGAATCCATTGCTGTCACTTCTGCTTAATAAAAGGTTCCTTTTGAAATACTCCATTTCAAGAGTCTTCACTTTCTTAAGTTAGAGGGAGAGGCAATCCTTACACTCATGAAGATTGAAGATAGTGCTGAAGAAAGGATCCAGGAATTTTCCTGTCAAAGATTTGGAGAAAAGCCTTGACATGTCTGTCCTAGCTGAGGGACTGAGTCAAAAGCTGGGGAAACCTAGCAACAGAGGGGTATGCTAACAGGTCTGACAGACTCAGTCCAATCAGCTAAGCAGATGAGGTCAACCCATTCCTGGATGCTATCTCCACCACTATGGAGAAAGTGATATATAATCACTTAAGCAGAGAGATTTCAAGATTAATTTTTATCCAATAATGTAGCCAAGAAATAAGAGTTAATGGAAATTCAATTTTCCCATTACCAGAAGCTTGATTTTAGCTATGTCAAAGGTTTTTTTTGCATCTAGTGATGTTGAAACAATGGTTTCATTTTTCTCTGGAGGCAATGATAATAAATTTCAATTCCCATATTATTAAAGATTTGACATCCTTTCATAAAATAAATTATGTGGAGTGACTTATTGCAGATAATACTTTCTGAAACAAATAATTGTAAAATCTTGGCATCAGTATTTAACCAAGAAATTGAACAACATCTCACATGATTCAAGGCTTCTCAGCAACTTTTAAAATAGTTGTCATACTGTATAAACCTTAGAATATTAAGTTCTTTATA